GAAAATGAGTCGTCTTTCTGCTGTTGTTTTGTATGATGGAGAAATTAAGGAAGCTGAAGAGGGGTTGTTTTTGAGTCAGATCATTATATCCCCTTAACCTTGAAGAGAAACATCACAATTGAGGAGTTAATCACAAAAATTTCGTTAAAGATTCGTGTAGCAGGCCAGAGAAGACTATCTTCACTTCAATACAGATTTCCTACTGAACTTTTTCCGCTCACGTATACATCATTTCAGCTTTCAAACGATGATGATGTTTCTATGATGGTTGATGCTCATATGGGGAGTTCACAATCTCTTATTGAAATGTATGCCACTTTTATTGAGGTTCGTGTAACTCGTGGTCTCTCATATTCCTCTCACTTTGGCATTGCATATCAAACTGATCAAGTTGATAGCCCGACACAACTTATCTGTAATGATTTCACATCATTAATGGCGGATCCAACGCCATATACCATGCCATCAAGTTCAATAGGAAGGCATTCATCTGCAACTGCTTATGATCTCAACCCACGTGGCTTCACCAATAATCCATATGGCAACATCTCTTCTACTTCAAGGGGCAGACATTCATCTGCCAATGTTTTCGACTTACATATGGAAATGCCAACGAGACGACAGTCTATTCATATCCCACATGATACAATGGCCTCAAGTTCAAGGGGAGGACACGCAAGCGGGAACTTATTTGACCTCAACATTGGATTATCGGAGGAACCCTCATCTCCACTAGAAGAACCTCTTCGGGAGCCAGGTGCAGATGGTGCTGAAACGGGATTATTCGTTGAACCTGACTCACCACAGTTTAACGTACATTCTGATGATGACGAGGATGACGTTCCGATAAATACAACACCAGCCGAACTTCCTGCACATATGTATGAGGCTGATTATGATGCAATGTATGAGCCTGAATTTCCAGATCTTCCTGATGTTGGAAACTATGGACTTCAATCATCAGTCAATGACGGTAATTTACATATTGGAATGGAGTTCGCATCGAAGGAGGAAGCAATGATGGCAATAAAGAGTTACAATATTCGTAACTCAGTTCAGTCCCGAGTTGATCGATCTAACACGGAGAAATATGTCTGCTACTGCGTCCAACGTCACAACGGATGTCAATGGATGGTCCGTGTATCAAAGAGGAAGAGGAAGAACAACTTATGGGAACTAACCAGATACAACGGTCCTCATACATGTTGTGCAACAGGTATAAACCAGGATCATCCCAACTTGGACTCCAACATTATTTCAAGCAATCATGCCCATTGTGAAGCAAAGCTCTCATATAGCTGTTGCAGTGTTGATTTCTGCTATACAGTCCCAATATGGGTACACTGTCTCATATAAAAAAACGTGGTTGGCAAAACAGAATGCCATTTGCAAACTTCATGGCGAATGGGATTCCTCTTACAACGAGCTGCCCAGTTGGTTTCATGTTGTGCAAAGACTTAATCCCGGGACAATTGTTGAGTTCGAAACTCAACATCATTACGTGAATGATCGAATGGTTCGCGATCGCTGCCAATTTTACCGAGTCTTTTGGACTTACCCTCAGTGTATTAATGCAGTCAAGTACTGTAAACCAATTGTCCAAATTGATGGTACTTTCTTGTATGGGAAATACAAGCAAGTTTTATTGGCTGTGGTCCAAGATGGAAACCGCAATATTCTTCCTGTTGCGTTTGCCCTCGTTCAAGGAGAAGACACTGAGTCTTGGGCTTTTTTCCTTAAAAATTTACGTTTACATGTTGTCACCAGGGAACGAGTATGCATTATTTCAGACCGAGGAGCCGGGATAAAAGCAGCAATGGACTCTTTGGGTACAATGTATAGACCTCCACATGTTCAACATCGTTATTGTGTCCGTCATATTGCTGCAAACTATTACGGAAAATACAAGAAGAACGATGAACGTCAGTTAGTCGTGCGGATGGGTATGTTACTTTTTCCCAATTTTTCTATCAATTTCTTATTACTTATTTATACTTCATATTAACTATTACATATTCCTAATGACTTAGGTTACGAACTCTTACCTCAAAGGTTTGAGTCGATGCTACAAGAGCTGTTTGGCAAAAATAAGAAGGGGTGCGAGTACATTATGGACATCAGCAAAGAAATGTGGACAAATGCATATGACGGGGGGTATCGCTATGGTCATATGACAACAAACTTGGCTGAAGCAATAAATTCAACCTTAAAGGGGGCGCGTCATTTACCAGTCACGGCGTTGGTCAAAACGACTTATTTCGTTTGGGTCAACTCTTTGCAAAACTCGGTGGACAAGCTCTTACTTGGATGCAAAACGGACATATTTACCACCCAAGACTAGTAGCCGATTTACAGAAAAAAATGGCTACATCAAATGGGATGTTAGTTACAAATTTTTCTCGCACCCGTGAATTGTTTCGTGTAACCGAAATGCCACGTCCGCTGCAAGGGATTGAAGCTAACTCTTTCAGAGTTAATCTGCAAGAGAGGTGGTGCGATTGTGGTTTCTTTCAAGCACTCAAATATCCATGCTCTCATGTCATTGCTGCTTGCTCACATTCGCATTTGGACTACAAAATTATGTTGATCCCGTATACCAACTTTCACAAGTTTTCAAGGTATATGAATTTGAGTTTCCGCCCATAGGAAACGAAAGAGACCCAAATGAGATTCAAACTTGGCTTACAATTGTCCCAGATCCATTGCTATTGAGGGACTCAGGTCGTCCAAAATCTACTAGAATACATTGTGATATGGATATTCGGGAGAAGTCAACAGAACAAAAACGATGTGGGCATTGTAGAAACATCGGGCACAATAGAAAAAAATGTCCAGCTCTGTTATCATCATATAACCGTTAACTCTTATGTAATTAAAGTTTTTAAATGAATGTTTTTATTTCTAATAATTTAATGTTATCGCATTTATATAATTTGTCAATGTATGTACACCTAAATAATTTTTTTTAACTTTTAAATACATAAATATATTTAATATATTTATTTAATATAATATTTAATATTATTAGTTATAATTTTTACATTATAATCGAAACATTTTACATAATATAATCGAAACATTTTACATAATATATTATTAATTTATAATAATAATAAAAATAAACTATTTATTATAAAACAAAATACGTGTCTGCTGAGTTGGCAAAGGCGCGTCCCCGGGGACGCGCCTTTCACACGTGGCATCCAACTCAGCGAAAAACCGGGTAAAGCGCGCCCCCGGGGACGCGCCTTTGCCAACTCAGCAGAAAGGGTGCTAGTTTTGGAAATATTGGTCGAACGGTGTTAGAAAAGTAAAAATAAAAACAAACGGTGTCAGTGGGGTAAAATCACCGTTCTCTCAGTGCCCCTCATGTGTGGGGACCTGTACCACCTCCACCGTTAATTATTATTAAATACGTCAATTTGGGGTATAATTTCATGAATTTTGTGTTGTATTAATTTGACTGGTGATAGGTATACGTTTAACAGATAATGGACGAGTACAGATATAAAAAGTTATATTTACTGTGGAGAGTGAATAAGTAATGAGTTTGAGATATCCACTTCGTATATGCCTTTTTTGGAATAGTATGTCCACTGATAATTTATCGTATAATTATTATAAATTTATATATAATTTTAAAGATTATTTTATAAATCTTAAGATTTAAAAGGACATGACTTATAATCTAACCAAATGTTAGTGTATAAATATTTTTTAGAATTGAAGATCATTGTTTATCATATCTCAAATTGGTGGATATAAACGAATATAAACAGGTACGAGATGGGCGGTAGATATTCAGTTTGATAATAAATGTGGGATTGTATTTAAAAATGTACTCTTATATATATATATATATATATATATGAATTTAAAAATTTTACCAGTAATAAGTAATAGGTAGATAATAAATTCAAAAATATTATATAGATAAGAGAAGGAGTGAGAATATTCGCACCCATCTCACTTGTTTGCATTTCTATTTATCACCATCGTGATTTTGGATGCTATACTTAAAAGTCCAACTATGAATTAGGTATTTTAAAATAGGGTAAAGACGGTCTATGAATTAGGTAATTATTATCAAAATTGAATTTTACTCTATTTCCTATTTCATTAGAGCAATTTTAACTTTTCAATTTACTCACTGAACTTTATAGATTAATTATTTTGGATAATCCGTCGTCAAAATAATTGATGGCGTTATGACATAGCAACTTACATAAAAAGAAGTCATTTTGAATTCGTGAAAAAAATAAATTTAGACTATAACGATGTTATTTGACTAAAATAAGACCTTATCATAATGTCGTTAATTATCTAACAATATAATGACAAAAAAATCAATCTATAAATTTTAGTGAGTAAATTAAAATAATTAAAAATATGATAAGTGAAATAGGAGAGGAAATAAAATTTAATTACTTATACCTTTAAAATATTAACAAAACAACGAATAGTCATTTGAGGAGACCCTCAATAAAATATATTTAATCACATGTTTTTATATAATATATTAATAATATTTATTTAACTTCAATAGAGTCGGTCATAATGTTTTTTTAGATATAATTATCAATATTTAATTTATTAATTAATTAATATATATCATATATTACAAAAATAATATGAGATGATTTTTAGTTTAATTTATTTTATTTGAATTTATCAAAATTTAAAATTATAATTTTATTTAATAAATTTAATATTTTATATCATTAAACTCGTTAATTGTTGGTTTATCATAATATTTTTTTGTAATGAGTTTGGAGAAAATATTATAGGGTGAAAATGATGGAATAAAAGAGACAAAAGAGGCAACCAAATTAACCACCAAAAGAAAGTATAAAAATTTAACTCAAACGTCAATGGTTGTCCCCTCCTGTTCCCGCTGCGTCATCATCCTCCTCACTTTGTCTTTTTATTTGACAATCTTCCAACAACCGCGCTTTCCTTTATTCTTATTTTATTTCATTTCTTCTCCATAACCCTTCCTTTGTCTCTCCCCCCCCCCCCATCTTCTTCTTGAAACCTCGCTCTGACCAACACAACATGGCTTTCGATGGTTTTGTCTCCGACTATACCAAGGACATGCAAACCCTTGCTCTAAACAACCCCCCACCGTCAGCTGCCGAGCTCGATCACCGGGAAAGAGCCAAATGCAAGGCCGAGATAATGGGGCACCCCATGTACGACCAGTTGTTGGAAGCTCACGTCGCCTGCCTGCGTGTTGCCACTCCTGTTGACCAGCTCGCTCAGATCGATGCTCAGTTGGCTAGGTCACAAGAAGTCTTGGCTAAGTACTCCCCGGCCGCCGCCGCCGCCGGTTTTGCTGAGGAAGATCTCGATCACTTCATGGTAGCCCTTTTCCCTTCTCGTTTCCTGATCTGAGTCCTTTGTGTGTTTTATGGATCATCTTTCTCATTTGGGTCATCGTTGACCAACTGGTTTTAGGGTTTTCTCTTCGTTTAGTTATAATCCATCGTTTATATTGATTTTTTTTCCTTCTTTTTTGTGTTGATTTCTAGCTGCTAGATGTCGGTGGCGGTTCTCAAACTCAGATAACACTTTTAATCTAACCCTTTTGTTTTCTGGCTTCCTAGTTAATTCATTGAAAGAAAAATAAAGATGGAAGAGAGGAAGAGGAGTATCAGTACGACAAAAGAGATGACGTAAAATTTAAAAGGATCTCGAAGATATGTGTCGAAATTATTATGCCTCGTAATGTGAATCATCATGAATTTTGTGCTACCTATAAGAGGAATGTCCCTTGTAATTAATATCCTAAATAATGGAGCTTCTGAAGTGTTTTCCAGAAATCATTTGTTTTATTGATTGTTGTGATATGTCTCTCCTTGTATTGTTCAGAAAACAGTAATCGTTAACTTGGCTGATCATTGAGCATTTGTCCTTTCTTCAACATAAGCGATCATTAGATTAATCTTTGGACTTCATAATACTTAAGAAATAGAACCTTACATATTTTAGGGTTTATTGGATGGTCTATTCCCCTTTTGCATGTTCTAAAGCTGTCTAATATCAACATATTATATGCCATATCGGCATCGATCTGTTTCAGCATTCTCCTTTTCTTTGTACTGTTAATGTAGGCAAATTATGTTCTATTGCTTGGTTTCTTCAAAGACCAACTGCAACAACATGTTCGTGTTCATGCAATGGAAGCAGTTATGGCTTGTTGGGATCTTGAGCAATCACTTCAAAGTTTAACAGGTAAATCTCTCTCCCTACTACAAACAGCTCCCGGAAGAATTAGCATGACGAAGAATAATTATATTGTACTTATAAATTTTCAGGGACGAACTTAAACTTGTAAAATTTTAGGGGACAAACTTAAATGTATAAAATTCCAGGGGATGAATCTTGCGTTATTCCTGTTGGGACATAGTTCAGCCAATTTTATACACAATTGTGTTTGGTAGTTCTCTACTAGTGAACAACTGAACACTATTCAGATTTTACAGAGTTATATAAGAGACACCATGGCAGAGCAATGCTAATGAGTTGGCTCAGTCTTTAAAAAATACATCTAGCTTTCATGCTTACTGTAATTAAGTCATAATAATGAACTTAATCCTTCCCTGTTTATTTTGATAGTTTTGGAAAATGACTGCATTAACTGTTGATTGAACTAACATTGGCAAAACTTAGAGCTAAACTAAAAAGCATGGAACAGGTGTATCTCCAGGTGAAGGCACCGGTGCAACCATGTCTGATGACGAAGATGAAGCTGTAGATGGTGACGCTAGTTTGTTTGATGGAAGTTTCGATGGCTTTGACAGCATGGGGTTCGGTCCCCTTGTCCCGACTGAGACCGAGAGATCATTAATGGAGCGTGTTAGGCAAGAACTGAAGCACGAGCTGAAACAGGTATGATTTCTCGAACTTAATAGTAAAATGGCTAAACAAATAACGCTGCAGCTAAAACATGCTTCGGTCCTTTTAGGGTTACAAAGAGAAAATTGTGGACATTAGAGAGGAGATTCTGCGTAAGAGACGAGCCGGAAAGCTACCGGGCGACACCACCTCGTCTTTAAAAGCTTGGTGGCAGTCACATTCCAAGTGGCCTTACCCAACTGTGAGTGTGATATGTTTTTACCTGCCAGTTCTCATTGATCAACATATGTTACTTTCAACAGTTCCATGACAATAGTGTTTCCTCTTAAATATTCCTTCAGGAGGAAGACAAAGCAAAACTAGCTCAGGAAACAGGCTTGCAGTTGAAGCAAATTAACAACTGGTTCATAAACCAGAGGAAAAGGAATTGGCACAGTAACTCCTCTACCTCTCTGAAGAGCAAACGTAAGAGGTAGGCTGCTTATTAAAGAGTACCATTGGCTTCTTTTAACTTGGGGAAGAAGCAACACAGGATGAACCAGTAATGAACACTTAGTATAATTTTTTTTTTAAAACCTCTTAATAGATAACTCCATGTTTTGATGTTCCACTGTGCATCTGTTCATAGTAGAGGGAGTTGAGTATGACACTGTTGCAATGGGAATGACTAGCATCGCTTTTCAGCTTTACAAAATGCAAGACGTGAGCAGTGAGCACCAGTCAGTTCCAGGTCTATGGTTACAATGTTGTTTTAGATCCTTAATTTAGAGACTGGTAAAAATATCGAGTCCTCTGCATAATGATGAATGAGCATTGTTGTTGGACGGTTCTGGGCTCATGTTTTCATATATGTGGACAGTATTGGCGTTTATGTCATGGGTTATATTGTAAATTATGTGTGTGTGTGCGTGCAATGTTTCTACATACGAAGTGATTATTATATAATTTAATGATGCTTCAAAACTTTGTTCCGCCTGCAAACGTTATGGAAGTTACATAAATGAATGAATTAGCAACAAATGCCAAAAAGCACCCCCAACCCTGTTTAGGTTGAAAGTTGACCCAAGCATAGAAGTTGCATATAAACATAAAATTCAGACGGAAAGTCTAATGTCATCAAAATCAAGCAAATATAATTTCCATAAATAATATAATTAAATAATAATGAACTTAGTTCCCTTCCTCTCTCTGTGCTGTGTACGTTCATGCCAAGCAGCAGCACATCTACGACCACCTCCAGGCTACAACTGCCTGCAAATGCAAAGGAAACAAGAGCTGCCAACATTAAACAGATTCTCGAAAATAATATTTGAAAGCCAAGGGTTGAATTTTCTGCTTATTTTTGCGGGTTTTGTCCCTTTGACTGAATTTTGCTGCAACCGAGCGCAACTCGTTTGCTATCTCGGTGAAGTTCGGTCTCTCCGACTGCTCAGATGACCATCTCTCCATCAATGATCTCCATTCCGGGTCACAGCATTCTGGAACCGGTGGCCTTAGTGTATTACTTACAATACCACTGAACAAATTCAATTCAAGGCAAATGCTCAGTGACAAAGTGTGAACCATTGGAACACAAAGGTTTGAACAATAGAATTCATGAATACATTTATAAATAATGCAATTACCAATAATAGCCCCATAATGTAAGTCTGAATATGGTTCTTCTTGTAAGTTGTTACAATTGTAAATATTAGAGTTTATTTGTAATAGTGATAGAGATAGTATCTTATCTTTTAATAACAGAAGATAGGTTTGTATTTTAAATAACTCCTGGTTGTAGTAGAACTCTTGTAACCTAAGTCTTTAAATAGACTATGTAATTCATCATTTGAGATAAATATAAATACTCACTATTCTCGTGAGTTTCCACATGGTATCAGTCTAGGGATTGATCTTTCTATCAGGATCGATGGTGCTTCCTCTTGAAACTTCTGGCGCTAACTTATCGGCAGATTCCCTTCAAACTGTCAATGATTTCCTAGAACTCTCTGATGCCGCATTCATCTGCCATCGTTTCGTTGGCCACAGTTATCTTCCGTGATCTCAATCAGTCAAGATTTTCCTTATTGGACGGGGGAAACTTGGCTATATCACTGGTGAGATTCTGAAACCTTCTTCAACAGATCCATTTTATGAGAAATGCGTACGTGAAAATGGCAGGGTAATGTCGTGGTTGGTTAATACCACGTCTCCTAAAATTGGTACCAATTTCCTTCTTTACGATACTGCTGCAGATTTATGGGCAACTATTCGGGAGACATATTCCATTACAAACAACACAGCTGAGTTATTCGATATTGAGAGTAATGCATCGAATCTAAAGCAAGATGGCTTGAGTGTTACTGAATTTTTTCATACTCTGTCAGGTCTGGCAGCAACTTGATCTGTATGCGGTTCATGATTGGGAAACTCCCAAGGATGCAACCTTGTACAAACAGATACAAGCCCAAAGGCGGGCCTTTCAATTTCTTAATGACTTGAACGCTGACTGGGATGATGTGAAAGCTCGAATTCTTGGCACTAAGCCTGCTCTTTCCCTTCGGAAAGTCTTTGCGGAAGTCAGACGAGAAGATAGTAGGACATCTTTTGTAACACCCAAATCACACAGATTTGAATGTCACATGAAGTTTTAAAAGTGAAGACCCAAAAATTTTCCTCACAAATCATACTTGCTTCAAAGTATTTATATAAAGTACAAATTGTAACAATTTATAAAAATGGGACCCCAATTTAGAATCTCGATAAAAAAATAAATAACCCATATATATACTAACTATTTTCAAACCATGACCTCTACATACCTATCAAGCCAACATCGTCGTATTATGATACTCTTGCTGAGACTCCTCCAATGATGTCGTTATCCCATCGCGACGAAAACATATTTCGAACGCTAAGCTCACAAGCCACACATCACACAATACCTCTACCATACTACATGCATTCATCAAATGATCATGTTGACGAACGAAAATATGTGCATGTGAATACACTCAAACATACTGAGGTAAGTCTAATGGTTTGTTCGGAGGAATTTATGTGCATCTCAGGATGACACCCCTAGCTTACCTAACATCTCATGAATATGCAGAAACATATCAACAAATATGAGAAAGGTCCAACAATGTGGTCAGAGGAATTTACGTGCATCTCGGACAACATACTAGCCTTTCTAAAATGCAATAACTTCAAGGTAAGAACCGAAATTTTACGTGCATCAAAACTTATAGCCCTTAGTCTACCATGGATTTGCATGCATCGGAAGCTCACATCCCGATCCCACAGATATGGGCTCTCGAGCATAAGGTACGATTATGGAATTTACGTGCATTGGAATTTGTACCAGTATGACCCAAAATTTAAGTGCATCGGATGCGTACTCAAAAAAAAGATATTTGGATATCAACATAACATAACAGACAAACGTCATATGCTAGAGTAACTCGGGTGTCTTAGTCGTTTCCCGAGTATCAAACAAATGCTAGTTTTATGTCACTTTATTTCATAACGTTATTAGTCGAGTTGATCATTATCAATGATATCCCAAATTAAGGGTTTAAGTATTTAAGCAAATCAATTAATGGACCAAATTGAACTCATTCAAACATGCTGAGGTCAAGACAACATTTCTCAGGGAAGCTCGTCTGCTTATGGAGATTCCAAATCTGGGCTTAGATTTGCGATGAAGTCTTCCAATCGGTGTAGATCTATACTTTCTTCACTGTCGATTTTCGCCGCCAACCGCCGTCCGTTTCGACACAACCTCAGCACCAAGCTCTGCGTCATTTAGCGACCAAAACCCACCTATCCTTGAGTTGAGAACCGTTGCTGTTCTCCAGGATTTCGATTTTTACTGTTTCGTAATTTCCAGAAACTGTTACTGTTCCGCCGTCATTCTGCGTCGACCAGATTATTGTTTTCTGCTGCTAATTTATTGAGAGCATTCCCGGATTGCTCTTTTGAGGGACAAAAGTTAGGACGGATGGCTCAAAGCTCAGGGAAGGAAGGTGAGATAGTAACTTTGTTTGTGCAAAACATACCGCCTACATATCATTGGAGTGGGTTGAGACATCTATTCGGGAGGCATGGTGATGTGATTAGTTCTTATATAGCAAGGAAAAATGATAGAACAGGAAGACGCTTTGGCTTTGTTAGATTTTCTAATAGAGGTGCCTCAGTTAGAGCAGTCCAAAGATTAAATGGATTCTGGTTATTTGGATATCGGTTATCAGTCAAAGAAGCTCGGTATGGAGCCAAGAATCAAATCTGGAAACTGAAATATCCTTCAACTTCCAGTGCTACAACCAGGGTAGAACAAGGAACAAGCGTTAGTGGAGAAAGTCCGAAGGAACTTGCAAGAAGGAGGACTAGGTTAATTCAGGGGGATGTAGATGAGGAAGTTGTTCGAAAGCTCCAGAAGTGCCTCGTAGGAACGATGGCGACGGCATGCTCTTCGAGTCAGGTGGATGACAGATTACAAGCTGGTGGTCTAGGAGAAATTAAGACCAAGTCCCTGGGAGGGAGAGATTTCTTATTGCAAATAGCTGAGGAAGAGTTATACAGAACCTTGAAGGAGCAGAACTGGTTGATTTTAAATGAAGTTTTCCAGGAAGTTCAACCTTGGTCAGAATCTTACAGAGCTTCGGAAAGAGTTACATGGATTAAATTGTTTAGAATGCCGCTTCACTGCTGGAATCATAGCACCTTTAAGAGGATTGCACAACAATGGGGAGAATGCTTAGCGCTGGGAGAAAATGCACTTCCAGAATTGGGATGCGAGGAGATGACCATTCTGATAGCAACTACTAGGAAAAAATTAATTGATGAAGTGGTAGACTTGGAAGCATGTAGAGATTTATTTAGAATTAGAGTAGTGGAAGTCCCCACATTTAGAAGTGATTCTTTGTTTCGACAGCGGGAAGAAAAAGAAGGTGTGGCTGTAGTCTATTCTGATTCACCGGCAGGAAGAAGCGTGGACTCATCGGAGGAGAAGAATTCCGAGAGGTGTTATGAGGAAGAAGACAATCAATTGTGTATGGGAACAGACCTAAAGGTACAACTTGTCGGATGAGGATGAGGAGGAAAGGAACATAGGGGAGGAAATAATTATGGGTTTGAGGAATAATGTTGCTGGTCAGAGGAAGGTTCAAACGCAAATCGAGATAGCGGTGGAACATGAGGTAGTGCTGGATCATGTGGTGAGAGAGGCAGAATATGACAACAGGAAATTTGGTAAGACTGCACGTATTAATGAGGGGATGAAGGATAATTTAATAGATTTGCCCATCTTGGATGGTCGTTTAGAGTCAAAGGAGGTGGAGGATGTGATTAATATGGGCCTTACAAATAATTGTGCTATCATAAGATCCAAGGGAGAGGAAGTCCAACAGGATGGGGTTGTGGTTGAACGGGTGGTTGGAAAACCCAAATCGGGGATAGTATGTGAGGATTTAGACCAGAGCCTTGGCTTGTCAACACAATTGACGGACGTTTCTTTCTCGCACAATTCCAGGCAGAACCAGAGATCTAAGGAGGGGATTAACAATAAATATAGCTCTCTCCAAATAATTGAAGAGAAATATTCGACTCCCCATAGGAAGACTAGACTTTGCCGAAGCAAGATTAATCAGGAGAACGTGCACCGCGAGGAAGAATGCACTGAACTTGATGGCTCACAAGTGTTTTTGATTTCTGAAAACTATAGCAATGGAAGAATTGGAAGTTTCAGGTGATTCACATTTGATTACGGAATGAAGTTGGAGGTTTAGATGGTCTCCGATAACAAGACGAGCAATAAGTGGTAGAAAGGCGAATAGAGTGATTTCGAAGCTAGCTTTTTGTACTCTTATACTGTGGTGTATTCCAGGAAATGTTTAGGCGTTAGTCTTCATTGTTGTTGCTAGATTGGTTATCAGCTCAGCCAAAATTTATACTGTGTTAGTAGCTTATATGGTTTAGGCTGAGCTAGTTCTGTTGTATAGGGTTGTCTTCGGTTCTTTTTTGGTTTTTTGGTTATGTTGGGGGTGTTTATCTGGTTGTATCTTATGTAATTTCTTTTGGTTAATGAAATCTTTAGGCACTCTTTTCCTCCTTCCGCTGATTAAGGAGCTTCTCTACAAGCTCCTTTAATCAAGAAAGGGGTTTTTAACGAGGCCTTCAATTCCTATAAAAAAAAATACCACTAAAGAATGCAATTTCACCATTTTCCCTTGAGCAAAACAATGAAGGGATCGATCCTTTGCACAACAGAAAGTTTGGGATTGATCCTTTTGATCAAGTAATCAATCTCTTTTTGAGGGACCGATCATTTCGAAAAGAGATCGATCCTTTGGACGACAGAAAGTTTGGGATCCGATCCTTTTGAGGGATCGATCTTTTTTTTGGGAATGACTTGCTTAAACTCGGGAAACACCCAACAATTCCTCTGATACTGGCAAACATGTTTAACGTCTTATTTAGTGTCTTAGAGATCAAAAGGTATTAATTTTCAAACTTGCAACACACAAATACGAATTTTGCCATGGAAATTACTCTAGCATGCTTCATGAACTAAACAAAATACCAGAAACCATAGTTTTACTTTGAGATAAACAAGGTCCTCATTAGCTAAAGGTTAAATGGAATGTACATGTGCGTACTCTTCGCACAATTGAAGGTTAATACTTCCATAACAACAACAATAAATATCACTGTCAATGTCTAAAGTCTAAGTCAGTCCGTTATTCATTTTATTAGAGTACTCTTGAAGAGTTCAGGAATTCATTCAAAACCCTGCTCTGTTCGTGTGTGCTGAATTCTACTCTTGAGCCAAATATACCCACATAAACCTCAATCCCACAACAATACTAAGAACATTTAACATATCAGTCAACTCAGTCACAAAATTGGTCTCCTTGAGAATATAAGACAAATTTAAATTTGCCAACTTAACGTATTCTAAGCAAGAAAATATCTCGAATTAGTACTCGGAGTGATTCTCTAGAACAGTCAATTTCATCTAAGGATGATTGGAACAAACAATGAAAAGCTCCCCACCATAGACCTGGCACCAAAATGGATGGCAAGTTAAGCTTAGACCCAAGCACTAACCTTGCATATCGGTCGATGGGGATCTCGAAGATTGACAAGTAAATTGTCACTCTTCAAATCAAAGTGCACTATATTCTTTCCATGCAAATACTCCATTCCAAAAGCCACATCCATGGCAATCAAAAGTTGCGTAAGCTTATCAAGATTCCTGGAAAGAGCAAGTCGTCCAATAATTATTTATAATCTGATAAAACTTCAATTAAAACACAAATATAGGAAAGCTTATACAATATAACAAACAAAACTAGAACTTTTAGGGCCTCTCATTCTTCTGTAAATAAGGCCTTAAAGAATCATTCACTACATATTCTGTCACTGTTGCCACAGAGCCACCAGGACCATCGAGAACAACACCATAGAAAGCCACAACATTGGGATAGTGCAAGTCAGCAAGCTTAATTTCCTTGTTCCAAAAATCATCAATCTTATCATATGCATTTACCGAAGTACGTGTTGTTAGTGAGTGATATTTCAAAGCAGAGCTACTAGGGAGAAAATAAGAGCATGAAATAAGAGGAAATAAAGAGTCGAACCATGCGTTCTCGTTCAGAAGGTTTCCCTGCAAAACATCTATCATTGATCCGTTTGATTGCAACATCACTACCCCGCCACTTCCCATGATAAACAGTACCAAAGATCCCAGAACCAAGCATCGCAGCTCTTCAAGGTCAATGTTTTTTATAATCTGAAAAAAGAATATAGCTAAATTTAAGGGCAAAAAGAGTTAACAATAAAGCACAAACATCACATAAAAACAATGATTCAACCTGCAAGCGACCAATGCCATCCAAAACTCGAAAACCATATATTTTTTTATGTCTGGTTGTTTAGTTTTGATTTCCTGAATTAAGAAAACAAAAATAAAAGATGGTCCAAGGAATGCATCTGCTCACACTCAACGGTCTCACATCTTTTGGTATAGCGTTGGGATCAAATGCCATGATCAAGAACACAGGATTCAGCTAACGCTAAGACTAGTGCAAATCAAGCTTGGAAGAGATAAAAGCTAGGGTTTTGGTTTCTGGGTTTTGTTTATTCCCGTAAAATATACTAGATTTTTCACATAATATCTCTGAGAAACAGCAAAAAAAACTTCTTTTACACAAAAGGGTATTAGTATTACTACTATTTCCTAAAAGCAACAAACAGAGCTAAAACATAAAAAATGAAGACTAATAGCGGTGAGAGGGAGAGAGAGAATATGGGGTAGACGAGACAGAGACAGCGACATCGACAGCAGTGATCCGGAACCGCGTTTGATTCAGGGCATTTTCGGCTCTTACAACGAACCGTTAACTCTTCTTTTGTCTCTCAGCTTCCTATCTGCCTATGTTTCTCTCTCATGAAATCCAGTCTTTTGGCGCCTATGTTGTTTCGAGGATGACATTCACCGGGTTTTTTTCCTGGGTTTTTTTATTTTCTCGAGAAAACCAAGGAGATTGAAATTGTGTGGTAGTGATTATTATTTTCTCCCCAGGTTGCGAAGGTTAACAAATGAGAGAAAACGGAGGCATTAGGGGTGACGACACGTGGATTGCTTCATGCAAATGCTCAGTCAGAATAGTAGGATGATTTTGATTTATAAAAGAGATTTTTTTTTCTTTCTATAATCTGGACTTGGCGGGCTCTGCCTCTTAAATCCACATCCATTTATGGGACATCAGTTTCTACTTTATTGATAAATTAGTCCATATACTTTAATTCATCAAAATCCCATCATTATATTTTATAAAAATCGAGAATTTAATATAATTAGATAAGACAATTAACCAGGAAGCATTTTGGATACCTGAAACAAGCAAAATATACTTTCTTATAAAAGTTTATTAGTCCAAACTCGAAAGTTGTTCAAACACTGTTTATTTATAACCCTATAGGAATCACTAGAGAAGACGATTCGAAGTCTGATATAGGGAGTTATGACTCATATTATTCAAGAAAATGCTCTCAGCATTCAAGCAGCTGCTTCAGCAGCAGTGGAGACTTTCTCGATGACATGTATAGGGTCTCCCACTTTAACCATCTTCGCCTTCCCTGCAGTTACACTTTCCTTGCAAACCAAGTTCTGCCCGAAGTAGATCTGCCATATCATTGGACAACTAGTTAAATACGGCTCGTTTGTGCGGACAGGTTCCTTAGAAGGATACAGGCATTGAAGCAGATGAGTTTTTAATTTACATCTTACCTTCCCTTGCTGTTTCTTGTCCAGTCGCAAAACCTTATCCGACCTGACTTTCATAAGTGTTTCATTCGGTTCCGGCCCGGCAACTGCAGTATCTTGATTGATTGTAGGTACCTGATAAATGCAGAATCGTATTTTAAGTTTTTTTCTGTTTGAAGATAGAATATGCTGAAAATGAAAATTAATTTTTGGTAAATAATCTGAAAATGTAGGAAGGTTAGCCTCATACCTTACAGCGGGAGCATAGTTTCACACCTTGAAATGAAAATTGGCTTATCTTAATCTCAGTCCACAGGTCTTCGGAAAACGGCTCACAGCCGGCAACAAGGATGCTATCACAAGCAAGGTAAATGATGTAATAAATTCATAAATAATACAGAAAAAGAGAGGTAAGAGTCAAACACATGTTTCTCGTTGGAAATAGCATGAGAGGAATCTACTAAGATATTGAATTTGAAGGATTAAGTGGATTCTGTGGAGTATTGTTTATGGCGGCATGCTAAATAAGAACCAAGGGTATGAGCCTAAGAGGAAAAAAACAAATACTTGGGCCTGAAACGATTAACCGGTACAGGTTCCTTGAGAAGCTTGTTCAGTGCATCCAAAGATTCCTGAAAAAGAAATTTACTTACAACATCAGGTTTGAGCTTTATTAAACTATTATTATCATCAATCATTAGCATCGTCGTTAGAACAAAAATAAAAATCGTTTCTGAAGCTGGCCAACCTGAGATATTAGCATGAACGGGTACTGATCGGAAAACATTATGAAATGCCCTGGAGCATAATCAGGATCCACAGGCCTAGTTTCTGATGCTGCATTAATTAAATAATGTTATAGCCAAATTGTTGGCCATATAAATATGAGACTTAAGCTATCTCAATATGCAGCACTATGCCGACATGGCCGTATAGCATACTAGCATTTACAACACCAAGCAAGAATAACATATCGTCGTCTTTCCCTTGATAAACCCAAATGAATGCACTTAATGTCCTATTGATTGAAATGTATTTGAACCAAACAAACCTGCATTAAAACGAACCATTCGACTGGGCTTCCCAAGATAATCCGTAAACCATTTTGAAGCCTCATCACCCTCATCCAAAGCAGAACCAGACCATTCCCAAACCGAAACACCATCTGCCACTAGTGGTGGTTTACAAAGTGAGATCTTGAGTAAACCCATTCCAGGGGCTTTTATTTCTGCAAATGGAAGTAAATAATGGTCATGACAGAAAAACCTCATGAAAATTCGAAAGGAAACGTGATCTGCTAGCATTAGACAACGGAAAACTAAAGAATAACGATAAAACATTAGATCCCTATACTGCTTAGGAGAAGAGGCATAGCATTACAACTTTACAATATAGAACCAAACAGCAACCAGCTTAGGACATTAACAATGTCAAATAATTATCCACCTAATATAGGGAATCTGAGTTTCCATGATAAGAACAGGGGAACCAAAACTTGACACCTCAATGGGAGAATCAAAAGAAATCGATGATATCTATCTTTTTTTTACAATTTACACAAAAAATAGAGAAATTATTTCAATGATTTCTTTATATGGTCAACTTAGATAGACAATGATTATACCAACATGCTAACACTAATATTTCTACAATTAGGGATTAGATTGTCATCCTCGTGCAAGATATATGTTGAGTTGCTATGCTGCAGAAAAATGGTGTAGCTCAGGCAATAGGAAAGACTTGGCATTGGCATGTTTAATTCTTTCATCGACTCCAACATCATACAGACTAAAAGGGAGAGAAGTTTAACTTAGTTCAGGAGCATGTAAGAAACCCGAAATAGTTCAGGATTAAAGGTGAGTTTAATTTAGTTGAGTTTCTAGGGGGAAAAATATAGTGAAGCCAGTTTTTAAAACATTAAATCACAACAAATATTGCCATGTAAAAGCACAATTCTACTTCAAATGAGCAAATATAGAACGCAACACTTGCAAAATCTAAGTTGTTAGAAATTAGTGAGGCATTATTGATAAAGATGAGTTGGTTTTACCCATATAGGAGTTCTTGGTAGGTTCCCAACCCTCTGAAAAGGCCTCCTTTGGCAGGTTTACCTCGACTAGAGCAAGCTTTGGTTGAACCCTTTGAGTATACGCCCTCCCTTTCTCATTCACAACCAGCCACTGCCGATCCCATCGGAACCCTGCACATCCATCATCAGACTCATGTAAAAAAGGAAATCACCGTTGCTTGCATAAAGAAAAAAATGAACAAATTGTTAGGTTGTTGAGGCCTTTGACCAGGCCAAGCTAAGATAACTATACTGTTTATCAAATAATAAACCCACGGTGAGGAACTCGAAGTTGAGCAAATAATTCAAAGCATCCAAGACTTAGAATGCAAAGAAATAGAAGAAGAAGAACCAGTAGGATTGAGGGGAGCTTGAGGGACAGAGATTCCACGGCATGATTTGATGGGGTAGATAAAGATTGATGATATCTTAGCATCAGCAGCAGTTCCGGTTGATGATCCACTCTTCTCCATCTCTTCTTTCAGGCAACGATAATTTTGAGTTCCCAAGCAAGCCAAGACTCTTCTTCAAGAGCTGGCTTGTTGCACTGGATTACTTGCCAAAACACGTGAATTTCATTTCCTTAATAAGGAAACTTCCAAACTAGGTTTAGAAGAGTGGACCACCCTCAATCCAAAAGCCCACACCCTTTCACCACTCAAACTAAGTTTTTTTTTTTTGTTCTCTAATTTCTCTCGTCCAATAATCATAAAAATATAAAACTATAAAATACAGTTAAATCTTATACCATATATATTATGTCTAACTAAATAAAAATTAATATTAAATCTTCTTTAAGTATAAATAATTTTTTTTGATGAAAGTATAAATAAAATTTAATTTAATACAGCCCCTAAGTTATTTTAGCTTTGAATTAAGATTTATTTAATTCTTATAAAATGTTCTGTAGATATAAATAAAACTTAATGCCAACCAAAGTACAAATGCGACCATTTCAGGAACAGGCAGGGTGGCAAAAAGATGAGGAATACTTCAATGAGGCTCAATGCTTTTGCCGTTGCACTTTTCATCATTCCACCACTGGAATTCCTGGTGTCCTTCATTATTCTTTCCCCATAATTTTACAGTAATACCGTTACAGTCTCATCGACAGCTTCATTCAACTTCTTATTTTAATTCTCAGCAGACATGCAGACGATATGAACAACACGAACAAACAAGCAAATGGAGACCATGATATTTTCTGCATTCATCACATGTTCCAAATACTGGCCATGGTTCTGTAATTTTTTTTTAAATAAGCACCGTCGTTAGCTTTTCAACATATGCTAATCTGTCTACAAGCTGATCGAGTTAAAAACTAATCTAAAACAGTACCCGCTCTTGATATATATCCAGAACCTTGATGACCTTCTCGAAGAATAGTTTCCGGTGCAATCTGTACCTGCATATGTAAAATGTAAGAAGGGCTTCAACTTGGACTGTAATTAAGAGACATGAAAAGAAAAAGGTACGGTATGTTATGTCAGAATTGAATACTTGATTGCTGTTTCGAGTGTCCTCCTTGCTTCTGGCATAGAATCTGTTGGCATAAAAAGGGAAAATAAAGTAAATTGTACCATGGCCAATGTTCTAGATGATCAGACATAATGGAAGTAGCATATATTTGAAAACTTATTGCAATAAACGATAAACAGAAGCTTTTCATTGTGCCAATTTAAACAGTGCTTCAACCATAAACCATGAAAATATCTAGGCACATCATTTTTTTAAGGAATTTGGATTCTGCAAGCTTCCGAAAAACCAAAATCAGTCCAGCTCGGTAAGGGCCCTCATTTCTGGTCTTGCGCGGAAGTTGTAGGAAAGAATGTTTAATTCAATCCGATAAGATTGGAAAATGTTCACCTAGTAATTTCTGGTCCTGCGCAGAAGTTGTAGGAACTGGGCAAGCATCTGCTGACATTCTTCTTGTAACTCCTCCACAGCTTTCCTTGCCATGCTAGGGATTGGAGGAACATCTCCATCTGACCACGTGGGCAATGTTCTTGCAGCTGCTATGACTGCCCCGTTGACAAAATCGTCTATTTTTCCGCTAATTGGCCTGAAAGTTTTGTGAACTTAAAGGTTCCGAATCAAAATTAAATTACCATTCTCGTTTGAAAAGTTTTAGAAAGTTCAAACAGTTCATACTGTTATGATAGTACTCTCCAGGAAGACCGGATATATTGAAGATTGACAAGAAAGAGTCCAAGTGAATATGTGCATTTCCGGAGAATGGTATTACATCCCAAGGATTCTGCAACATTCAGGCCTCAAGAGTTAAATTTAAGGACAATAACTTGCACATTACGGCATCAAACATCAGTTTATTTGAAAATATCTTTTGCAATGACAACAGATATTCCCCTGATTCCACTAAATAAGATTTTAAAAAAATAGCATATCTAAATATGTATATTGATGATTAAAAATTGAAGCTAATTACCACAGAAGACGAGAAGCCGTATCGTTGCATGAGCATATGATTCTGCTGTCCCCTCATATAATCGATGGTCATCTGTCAAAATTTATGGAATCATGGATATAACCCATGATGCAAATAAAAAACATTTAGGATCTAATTTGGCTGATGGCTTGGACCGAAACCATTAACTGTGAATCTGTGATAACTGAACAATATTAGAATTCAAAAGAGAGTTATGGAAGAACAATAACTCCTCTCCTTTTTTAATCCTCTGCCCAGCATTTATCATCACCTCAACAATGCGATTCTTAAAAAGCCAATGAAGAAAACAATTTGGATGAAATGAATGATTTAGCATGTCTGCAACGGCAAATGAAAACGTCAAAATCATGTTAAAATAATGTAACTGAGAGAAGAAATAGTTTAAAGGAAATATTATCACAATCAACTTTTAGATAAGTCAGTGAGAAACCGAGTGAAGCCAAAACAAGCCAAAGAAAAACATAGATTGAGGAGACTTGTGCTGCAAGATCACCATACCAGCATAGGGAATTAGCATATTCGCATCTTGAACTAGTGCACCGATCCTAACTTGCATGCTAATGCAGCGTGACTGTGCAATGCTAACTGCCCAAATGAATCTCTCAGGATCATGAGCAAGGCGCTTTATTTTCAAGGGAGCACCGGAATGCTGAGTGACGTTAAGCACACAAATATTATTTGTTACAGCATGCAAAAACTTCTCGAAACAAAAAAAGTAGTGTGAGAGGCAAAACTTTGAGAACGATAATGACAAGATGTTTATACCCAGTTCTTTTCCCAAAACTCTAAGGCTCTTAGTTGTTGATTTCTCATAGTTGAAGCAAGGTCGGGATCCTGCAGCTGTGAGAAGTCATCCTGCAAGGATTGATCGAGTAGTCAATATAGCAAATCCTTTCCCATTCAACAACCAAATCCCAATGTTTCAATGCTACCAGAATTATATCACTCCCCACCATCAATTCATCAAATACAAAAAAATGTATTTTAGCAACAAAAAAGAAGAAGAAGGGAACTAAAATCATAAAAACAAGAAAAATAAACATTGAAACACTAATGCTACATGTCTTCCCGTTTTACGCACCTCAGTAGCAAGAAGCAAGCTAGTGCAGTCGTCTGCACTAGGTAAGAAATCTCCATATAGTTGCCAAAAGTTATCATCCCTATCAAATGCATACAAGAGAAGGCAAGCCAATCGCAAATCCCAGTCTGTCTGCCAAGAAAGATACACATAAATTACAGTAATTAAATACTGTGCTAGTGCATTCACCGAATCTAACAATAAATGCACTATACTTGTATGATAAAATTAAGCATTTCGTGTAAAGGAAGATTCCAATTACCTCAGGATTGGTTGAGTTTATGATATCAAAAATGGGATGACCTAAAGGTATTATATCCGGAAAGAACATCCATGGAAGCTGCTGCCTTATTGTCAACATAAAACTCCAAAGGTATTTCCATAATAACCTGTTAAGTGTTAGAAGCATAGTTACCGACACATGATTAGTTACTGAAGACTGTATAGAAAAGGCAGAAACAGACTCTGGCACGACGAAGAGCTTCAACATCTTTGGAGGCATAGACCCCAAAACCGTCAGGTCCTTCCTTGAACTCAATTACATAAGCTCTCATACTTCGAACGTAACCTATCTTGTAGAAATCAGGGTCCGCAGGCTCCAGCTATGATGAAAACAGTTCAAAAATAAAAAGAAAGCAAAGTGAAGGTTTAAGAAACCCAAAATTCAAATAAAAAAAACTAATAGGAAGTGAATTGACAAGGCAGGAGCATATAAATACCTGAGAAGGAGATTCATCGAGTGGGGGAGGTTGAAAGAGTGGGAAAGAAGGAGTTTCAACCGAAGCATTAATGGGTCTCAAATGATACCTGGCAACTGGTGTTTGTGACCACCCATGATTATGAAAATGTCCACGACGATATTTTATTTCCGGGCGAGAATAGGTGAAGCACCCACCGATATGATGATGGGGAACAAACAATGTCACCATTGGAGTTCAAAATGGAACCATGGTGTCAACACTGGCAGTGTATTACTCCGGTACTGGTGTTTATCTTTCGTTGTTTGGACAAGAAGATCAACTCTGGACTCCTTAAACTCAAAGAGAAATGCCATTACAGGGAAACGTTATCCGTTCGCAAGCCGCAACCAGAGACCAGGCCAGACCTGCAGAGTGCAAAAGGGATAACGCAACTGGCCGCCCAGTCCATCTTAGCCAGCCTTGGTCATCATTGGCCCATCCTATATGTGAAATATCTCCAAAAGATCTAATCTTTGTTTCTTACCATCAGTGGGTGCACCAGGGTTCAAAGTAGGATTCTAAATTACTCAGTCGAGCTTGCATATTGTTGAGTTCAACTTGACTCGAGAATTATAAAATAAAGCTCGATTCGTCTCAAAATCTTACGAAATTACAATTTTTTAAATTCAACTTGAACTCCAAATCATGAATTAAAATTCGAAGGCTTGAAAAAATCTTAAATTTAACTCGATTAAAGCATCAAACTCGAAATTGAATCTTAAATACATGAAAACCTTATATTGTATTTTTTTAAATCGTCACATAAATGTTAATATTATTAATAATTTATTTTTAAAAATATAAAATCTTAGTATATTATATGTTGGAGCTGCTCACGAGCTTTTGGAATCGAGTATCAAGTAGCTCGTTTCGACTCATTAAAAACTCCATTCGAACTGAATATTTATCAAGCTTTGAGTCAATCTCGAATAACTCACGATCTATCTCGTTTCATTTACGACCCTAATCCTAATAATCTAAAACATTGTTTGATCCACGTTGAAGAGACCACACCTAGCATTTTCTCATGTGCATGGTCCACCCAAATCTTGGCTCTTGAGTCCCAAACATACGAGGCGACATGTAAGAATCATCGCATGAACTAAGCGATCTCGGTGGTAAAAAAAAGTGTTGTTATTTTTTGAAGTTTTAGATTCGAGCACCAAGAATATCAGAATGTGAGTGTTCAATATTAAATGTTTAAAAGTTATCTTTAAACAGTTATTGTCTTCTGTTTATCACAATTAATAAAAAAAAACATGTAAGGGTGACCACTGACCTTCGAACACCATAATCAATAAGTGAAACATGGTGGGTCTAGCCCAAAATTCATGTGTGGGTCAATAAATGAGCCGAGAAACCACACAAAGTCGATTTACAGATAAGGCTCCACACCACACCTACTCTCATTTAAGACTGGCCTATTTTCATTTTCATATTCATTGAAAATCTTTAGTGGTCCTCCATTTCTGCACCTTTTTTTTGCTTATTTGTACACTTTTATTAAATTCTGTCCACATTTCTGCACATTTTGTATGCTTATTTGTACACTTTTATTAAATTCTGTCCAGATTCCATTTCATATCTGAGACATTTCCTGTTAAGGTCTAAGATCATTCTCCAACTAACGCAGTTATTAAATCCATAAATGTTTTATGTTATTTGTGTAATTTTTGATTCTATGATAATTTAAAGTTACAAAACATATAAAACAGTCCTCCAAAAAATGGTGCATCATTACTCAATCATCAATAGTGATGGTTTAACAGATAAGTATATATCATGGTAAATAAAATACTATATTATATATAGAGAGACTCATTCTCTAACCCTAAAAAACTGCAGCATTCCTGGAAAGCTGTCAAATTTCTCATTACTTCACTTATTCTTCTTCTGTTAAATATTGTCTTTGATTCTTCCCCCCCCCCCCCACTTAGTTGTGTATTGGAGGTTTTCTCTTGGCTTGTGAATAGTCCATTTCAGCTATCTCCATGATGTCCGCATATTGGTCATGGACCTCGGAAGTTGTCGGCGAACCAACGGGAACTTTCTCTTGCTTTTCGCCATTTCCTTGGTTCACTAATTCGACTTTAGAAGTAGTGTTAGCTTTGTCATATCCACCGTCTTCGCTCTGAATGCAGAGCAAAAATCGACTAAGTACCGGGTTCGAGAAATAAATTACTAGTGGTGACTATGTCAACCAACCTTGGAACCGGTGGAAAATGCAGTAGCAGCAGCAGCAGTTGCAGTAAGAAGTTTCCTACCGTTTCCTGCAAAAATTGGATGTGAAAAAAGTTGTATATCAGTTGGTGTAAGAGACAAGGTAAACTTTTGATCCAACACAGAGGAATAATTATGCTATCAAGATTCAAACCCCGGTAATAAAAAGCATGGAACAACACTGTTCCTAGGGGAGGCTAAATCCTTGGTTCACTGTAATGTAATCTTAATTAAATGCATGGTAGCCAATGCCAGTGCTGTGATTTTTTTTCCTCCTCCTGGTACCTGTACAATGTCCTTTGCATAAAATGACATCTCCCAAAACTTCATTACTGTTTTTCATCGAAGCTTCTTCCTGCATAAAACAATGTCCTTTCTTTTATCTTAAAGCTCCTCAAATTATATTGAACTGAATGCATACAAAAATGAAGGAAGTTGGATACCAACATGCAGCAATTTAGGATGCCGTGATGGTTTGAAACTTTTCTCCAATCGAATCCCTTCAAAAAGGAACAAAAAGCAAGAAGATAAGATGTCAGAATTGAATTGACAAATAATGGAGGCTTTGCTGTGTTATGGAGAAATAATTGTGGGATTTTACCTTCAACAATAGAAAAGAGAACCAACAACACCAGAGAAGACACTGCTAAACTGGAAGGACTCATTTGCAGGACTAAAACACAAAAGTGCTGAGAAATTTTTCAGTCTTCGGATTCTCTTTCTTTTTTTCTTTGTATTAGGAAAGGAACTTTGAATGCAAGTCTCCTGATGAATTTCTACACCATTGGAATTTGCCTGCCTTTATATATACTACAACTTCGCTCCCGTAAGGACCCATTAACAAGTTCCTAAATTTTATAATTTGAATTAATCATTGTACCAGTCTGTCGACAGACTAATCCAGATCGAGTATTACAGAGTTGAGAGCGACCCTTCCAATCAAGTTTGCTCAATTCGTAAAAGCCAAGGTTCGAACTCCTAATATTACTTAAGGGATCTAGTGTCACATACTACCCAATTATTTTTTCATGAAATATTATTTTTACTATATCGGTAAGAAATACTAATATTTTTTGTTGTCATCGAGTTTTAAGGTTTTATCTTGATTAATCTAGACCGATATGGGTCGCACACATGATTTTGATGGGTAATTCTCTCAGCAAATTTTTTTTCATATACAATAACTTGAACCTAAGACTTTACTTAAACGATATCAAATTACTTACCATTTGAACCAATACAATTAAAAATAATAATATTTGTAATGCCGTTACGTTATGTTCAAAATTATAAACTTTACCCCAAATACCCATAGTTCAATCATGGAATGCGAGTGGGTCTTGTTAGAGGATACATGACCACAGAGCCATATAGGCCTTTATGGGGGACAGGTTTTATATTTTCGAGTGTCAAAATGAAACCCAATAAAGATGATAAATTCTAGGAGAACCGACGGTGTTAGTGTTTAGTGATATTAGATAATATATATATATATATATATATATATATATTCATATAAGAATAGTTAATATATATTTTAAAATTAAATATATCATATTATAACAGGATATCAATTTGAGTTAGAACAAAAATGAAATGTCATGATTAGACAACTGTATGTTACTATGCTAGTTTGTTTGATTGCACGTTTTGTGTCATTACATTTTAAGGTATGGTGTCAACTCTTTAAGGTAAAGTCGGCTCCTGGCAAAAGCTATGAAAATGTGGGGTGGGGGAGGAAGGGACATTCCATTTTAATTGAGTAATCAAATCAAATATACACGACTGCTTTTTTTATATTAATTAGTTAATGATTCAATCGTGATTATTTTAAAAATAAACGTAGCATCTTTTGTTTTTAATGTATTTTTTAATTTAACTGGTTGTAATAGTTTGGACAAAAATGTTTAATCCGTTTGAATGAACAAGTTTAGATTTAAGATTTGAGTGAAGGGAATTTAATTATAAGTTGCATGTAGGGGCCAAACGGACGGGATGGGTTTGGATATCTATTTTTCATCTTTATAATCACTTAATATTTACTATTTACTCACCGTTTACGATAGGTAAAATTTTTAAATTCACATCTGTTTAAACATATATTCTCAAATCCACCACACCTACTACTTAACTAGATATTCACCACTTATTTTGTACCCACCTGACAGCAACCTCACAGATTACATAAAATAACAAAATATAACACAAACACAACCATTAAGAAGCATAATAAAATAAACTATGGATTAATTGAGTTTATAAATTAAGGTTTTGTTAAATTACAAGTCATGTCTTATAAAATTTTAAGATTTATATAATAATCACTAAAATTATACTTAAATTCATAATGATCCAAAATTGATATGGTGTGTAATTATTAGATGGGCGAATATGAAGAGGGCGGATGTGGAACAAGTAAGATTTTAAACTCATCATCTACCCACTACCTATGATGATTATAATTTTTTACACCCACACTCATCTATTACCCGCGAAACTTTATATTCATTTCAATTAGAACTGATATGATACAAAATCTATGAAGCCGTATCCATGGGACATCCCTAGTAGCATGGTTACCGTTTGGGGGAGACAAGGTGGGCCAATTCCCACGTGTCACAGGGAACAAGGAGATTGAATGTGACGGTGACGGAAAAGGGTTAAAGTTTCCCTGTATGTCACCAAATAGACTTGTGTTGACGGAGCAGTTTTGTCTTTAGCGGCCTAATGGTGCGGCCACTCCACGAGGAAGTCTACATTAACGGGACCACAAAGGATTACATGGCAGGTGATTGGGCCACGTAAGTATATCCAGTTCACGTTGCACGTTTTCACTTAGGCCAACAGCAAAACATCTCGGACACTATTCTGTCCAAGAGTTCCATTTGGCGGCCCGACTTTCAATAAAATATTTTACTACTGAATCAAATACTACTATTAGTTAGACGAAAGCTTTAGTTTCCGAATTACACAAACAAGCCTCGACCTCGATGATCCTATCTACTTATTACGAATTCCTACTGTAACAATATTTACAATTAACCGAACCACCCAACTTTCTTTTTGGTCCAAAATAGACAACGCAATTTGAACGAATCCTTGATATTGCACTGCCAATATGGCGACACTTGTCCCACCATTCCAAAGCATTGCAAAAAAAAAGCAATCTTTCTTCCATGTTGGAATTAAATTCATCAATCTCTCATGTCCATATAGAATATCGGTTTATTGTTACTTTCTACGCCTTCCCATGCCTGGTATTTCCCCCATGCAAGCTCACATGTCCTGTCCTACATAAATTCTCACATGTGGCGGCGTGACCTTAGCCCTTCTATGCGAGCCCATCCTCTAGGCTCTCCACCTTGTTACAATATGGCGTGAGCGCTCCTAGGAAGGTTGCCGATGAATGCACCCACCACCGACACGCCGATTGCTTTGACCATGGCCTTTGTTGGAAACACAAAATTTAAGTCCCCCATTTAGGTCCCTTCTTAAACGAGGTTAATGAATATTTGATGGCGGTCATTTAGCACCTCCTATAACTAAAATGTACTGAACAGGTCTTGAATCCGCCACCTGGTACGGTTCATGTCCTTGGGCGGTAATAGAAATTGTGTTGGGTGGCAGAAGCTATGTGCTTGTCTCGGTCAATTGTTCTATATATATAAGCGGCAACGTTTATTCGAATGATTATTTTAATTTTTTTATTTTCTTAAGTTTTTAAGTTTAGATATTTTAATGTTTAATCAAAATAATTTTTATTAAGTAAAAATCGTTAATAAACTAACGATTAATGTATGTTATTAATGTATGTTATTAATGTGACGTATATATATATATATATGACGTGTTATATGACACACCTTAAATGATGTGACATATATTATAACATTATCTTAGATAACACGACACATATCATATCATTGTATTGAATAATGTTGCAAGTGCCACAACTTCATATTAAATGATATGATATGTGATATGTCAACAATTTAATATATCTACTATGTTAATAGTATGCGTTGATCGTTAGTCAACTTACGATTTCACTTCATACCAAATATTAAAAGGCTGAGATTTCAAGAGATCCGAAAAAAAAACGATCGAAATGACCATTCAAACAAATTTTGAGGGTTAATTTTACTACTATGCTTAAAACCACGCGCTTCAACTTATAAAAAATTGCAGGTGGATTCAGGCCTGATCCAATACTATTTAAGTAGGCCTTTATGCTTAGATGAGTGGCATGCAGTTTATGCCCATTAGAACCATTGTCAAAGCACAGAATGGGGACAAATCAAGCCGGCTAATAGCGTCATTATCAATAATTACTTCAAATCGGCCTTCACCAGGAGGCATTGGAGGCTCCACTTGAGAGGAATATACGAAGAAACAGTTTCAGATGCACTGAGTTTCCAGTTCTATTCATGAACAACTAGACCCTTACCTATTTTCATATTCCTAACCCCAATCTCTGTTTTTCCAAATTCCAGAAACCTGGGTAAGTTTTTAACTTTTACAGCTATGAAATTCTTGTTCGTTTGTTTTACTCAGGACTAAGCTAAAAGTGTGTGGGGGGGGGGAATGAAAGCAACTCTGAAATTACAGAATCTTATCATGGAACAAAGTTAACTGATGGAATTCAGTTTCTTACCATCCTGTTCGTCATACATGGAGAGGTCGAAATTTCCTTAAGGATTGAAAGAAACAGGGGGTGCAAACTGTCCATTAAATCCATGGGGTTGAAGAGAGAATCTTATGTCCAAGTGAAGGAGAGAGGGGAAGCAATGGATTAATGAGAGTAGCCATGGACTGTTATGGTCCGAATACAATTTTTACAGTTTGATTCTGTTATTTTGGTTTCAGTTCTTTTATCAAAGTTTCTTATAGTAGCGGCCATATGTTTTTGAAGCTCATATCATATCCATTGTGTGAGGTTTCTGTAAGATGCAGCTCAGCCCTACTGTGTTGGTGGTGTAAGAAAATAGTCCTCCCATTCCACAGTTGGTGGTTTAAGAAAATAGTCCTCCCATTCCACAGTTGGTGGTTTAAGAAAATACTCCTTCCATTCCATTTTTTTTTGTGTTATCTCCGAAGATATTACTTCATTATTGACTATTAAAAGTTATAAATTAATTATTTGACAATAGAATGATATTTTTTTGAGTCATTCAACTATTAAAAGTTATAAAATGATTATCCAACTATTCATTATATTCTAAACTCATTCTTTTTCGTTAAAAATTTACGGTATTGTGAGTTTAATGTTAATCTACTAATTATGAATAGGGATGGGCATGGGTTGGGTCAAATTTTCAGTCCACCCGACCCGACCCAAAAATTATAAATCATCCACTCGACCCGAAAAATATACACCTTCCACCCGACCCGATTTTGGAGATAAAATTCGAACCCGACAGTCAACCCGAAATAATATATTTATTAAAAAATATTATTTTTATTCAATAAAAATAGGGATTTAATTGAAAGAAAATAATATATAGAGGGGTTTTTATTTTGGGTCGGTGTTTTTCACTCTAAATCCAAACTCGAACTGACCTGAACATAACCATAAAAAAATTCGACCTAACCCGAACTTTTTTTTTATTCTGACCTATTCGGGTCAGAACTCATTGTGTTCAGGTTTCATGCCCATCCCTAATTGTGATATAATAAAATTCAACCATAAAATCTCAAACGACTATCATATTTTAGTCATCATGTTAACGTGTAGCTTAGACAATAATCA